GTGTTAGAGAGATAGCTGAGAGTTCTTATACCTTGACAGGCACCTGGAAGTGAGTTGAGACACTGGGCATGGTTTGAGCATATATGAAACCTCAAAGCCTGCCTCCACAGTGACACACTTCCTCCAACAAGACCATACCTACTCCAACAAAGCCACAACTCTTAATAGTGACACTCCCTTAGGGAGCTATTTTCTGTTAAACAACAATTACAAATGCTCCAAACATCAGAATTCTAGCAAATAAGCAGTGGCACCTCCTCAGACATGATGCTGACTCCCTGACAGCCTTTTGTCAGCATTTCTTCTGTCAACATCCTTAAGCCTTAGTCCAGCATGTAAGCTGTATTAGGAAAAACTGGGTTATATAAGTGACAATTTCAATGCTCAAAGAAATTGCTGAAGTCCTAGGCAGGATACAACTCAAATTGAAAAGGCCAAATTCATTAAATATCCTAATAGGGCTTTATATAAGGAATATTTATCTTTTGATATCATTGCCTTAAAATTACAATAAATTTTGTCATATTTTACCTGTTGGGTATCTTCAAGTCTATCTTTTTTGGTCTTTTCCATAAAATTCTTAAAAAATGATGTAGCATCACTTGGAAACACACAAATGTTTAGTTTGTCATATACTCTGGAAAGGAATGGAAACAGTGCTGTAGAGAAACAAAAAAATGATAAAATTGCGAATTTAAGCTTTTCAGAGTTATTTTATTCACCAGTGACAAACATTAAATAATCTAAGTGTAATATTAAAAAACAACAGAATAACTGTGGTAGAAATTAGTATAATTATAAAATATAGAAAGTATATCACATCTAAAAGTAATTGAATTTTAAATAAATATGCAAAGAGGAGAGTTCAGCTCCAGGAATATTCAGTATGAAATATTTAACAGATAATTATTACCAGTACTTCACAGGCATTTCTAAAACTTACAAAGCTAGGAGATTGTGGAGAATTGAATCTGAAAGCTTCTATTGCCCTGTTATTTAAAATAAGAATGAATTTTTTGATGAAATCCTATGTATAAATGTGACTTAATGCCTGGGCTCAGTCTAGATCCCTGGGCACCAGCCACTCCAGGGAAGACCTGCCCAAATTGGCCCCAGGTTCTGGCCACCGGGCAGATTCCCTTCTACTCTCACCCCTATTGGGAAGGCTCCCCTTCTTCAAGACCCCCGGTAGACCCTGCAATCTCCATGCCCTGCCCCCACGGCCATCATTGCCTGGGACCCCAGCAACTTCCTGAGAATTAGATACCTACTCCTAGCTCTCATCCTTCCCCGAAATTCCCATCTGGACGAGAGGTGAATGCCTGGGCTCAGCCTAGATCCCATCCCTGGGCACCAGCCACTCTGGGGAAGACCTGCCCAACTTGGCCCCAGGTTCTGGCCACTGGGCAGGTTCCCTTCTACCCCTACCATGAAGGCTCCCCTTCTCCAAGACCCCTGGAAGACCCTGCAATCTCCACACTCTGCCCCCATGCCCATCATCTCCCGAGACCCCAGCCACTTCCTGAGACTTAGAGACCAGCCCCAAGCTCCCATCCTGCCCGGAAATCCCTTCTGGACAAGAGTGCCCATCCTGCCCCGGACTTCCTGTCTGGACAAGAGCTCCAATCCTGCCCTGGACTTCCCATCTGGACAAGAGGTCCCATCCTGCTCTGGACATCCCATCTGGACAAGAGAGAGAGACTTCCTGAATCTGTCAGCTCTTTCTGGACCAACTGCGCAGATAAGACCAAGAACGAACCACAAGGAGATGGGCAGATGTCAAGACCAAGAACGAACCACAAGGAGATGGGCAGATGTCAAGGCAAAAGTATTCACAACAAAATGAAGAGCAATACAGCATCATCAGAATCTAGCCCTACTCCAACATCTAGACCTGAACATCAAAAACTGGAAGAAGCAGAAGCAAACAGCCTTATGAATAACATGATGAAGAAGGTAGAGGCTTATATAGAAGAAAAGACAAACAAAAAATGGGAAGAACGCTATAAAAAACTAGAGGAAAGAACAAATAAAGAAGAAAAATAATAAAGCCCTGGAAGAAAACAATCCCTAAAAGAAAATCATGAAACAGATGAAGGAAACAGTCCAAGACCTGAAAAGGGAAATAGAAAAAATGAAGAAGACACAAACAGAGGGAATGCTGGAAATAGAAAATCTGAGTAAACAGTCGGGAACTTCAGATGCAAGTAAAACCAACAGAGTGCATGAG